CCTAAATTTGTATTTTTAAAAATGTTATAAAACCTTAAAAATAGAAGTAGCAACAGTTTGAAGAATCATTGCTCATTTAATGTCGATATGGTATATTATTTAGCAAATAAAATCTGAATTCAACATTATGACATAGTGTAAGAGAAAAGAGCTCTGAAAAGTCATCTCATCTACTTCAATATTTACATCTGTAGTTTCACTTGGTTTCTCATTTTTATGTTTCTTAAAATTAAACATCAGGTTATCAAGAAAGTATAAATGAAAGGTAATTGTTTATTACTGGTGAAGAGAAGTGTATACAAGAAAGTCTAGATTCTTTCTCCACATGCACTACTTTTGGAATAAAGTTCCAAATATCAACTTTGAAGATATTTACAAGGATAAATTTTTCTTAACAAGTGACCAGTTACTGTGTCATGGACATTTTTTCATAGAATCCATACTGTAAACTAAACGTATTCTTATAGTTTACAGGAAGCTTAGAGCAATTATGTATTAACAGAGAAGATGGTATTTTATTTTACTGCAAAATATTATAAAGGTGATACAGTTTCGTGGCTCACAAATGTTTAATTACTTGATTTCAAAGGACAATGAAAAAAAATCATCAAGAGAGGCCTGGCTTTAAGATTTTTTGTATTCGATTCGTTCTACTTTCACATCATCTCCAATTAGCTGATACACATAGGTGACCACTGTAGAAGCCTGGATATCCATCAACACAAATGATGGAATAATGTTTCTAGAAGAAAAAACAAATAATATCAGTGTTTTGTATCACAAAGCAGCAGCCCATAAATTTAAGATGACAATTTGGATTCAAAGAGAAATCTGTTATATGTCACATGAACAGTTATCAAAAGACTACCAAAATGGCTAGATTTATTTAAATAGTCACATGTGGCCAGGAATAGTGGCTCATGCCTGCAATCCCAGCACTTTGGGAGGCCGAGGTGGGAGGATCACCTGAGGTCAGGAGTTCGAGACCAGTCTGGCTAACATGGTGAAACCTTGTCTCTACCAAAATTACAAGAATTAGCTACTTGGGAGACTGAGGCATGAGAATCACCTGAATCTGGAAGACAGAGGTTGCCATGAGCCAAGATCGTACCAATGCACTGCAGCCTAGGTGACAGAGCAAGACTCTGTCTTTATTTTTACCTTTTTTTTTTTTTTTTTTTTTTTGAGTTTCTCGTTTAGTCACCCCGGCTGGAGTACAGAGCCTCCAACGTGGCTCACTGCAGTCTCAACCTCCTGGGCTCAAGTGATCATCCCACCTCAGTCTTCTGAGTAGCCGGGATCACAGGCAAGCACCACCACACCCAGCTAATTAAAATTTTTTTTTTGTAGAGACAGGGTCTCACCATATTGTCTAGGCTGGTCTCAAACTCCTGGGCTCAAGCAATCTGCTCCAGCCTCTCAAGTGCTGGTATTACAGGCATGAACCACTGTGCCCAGACACATTTCTTTTATGAAATGTCATACATGCAATTACTTTACTAAAGCCCCCAAATTCCCAAATTCTATACTACTCACGTTTCCAAGGCATTATATGCCCCAGTGGCAGAACCTGGATTAATGTAGAATTTATTTTCATGCTCAAATGCTTCAAATTTGTGTGTGTGTCCCGAGATAAGAATGTCCACATCAAACTGCCTCTGCAACAGGGCTAAGCTGGCCATGTCTCCCCAAGGAATAACTTGATGTCCATGGATCAGACCAATTTTGAACTGTCCAACAGTTACAACTTTCTGTTCTGGATAATTCAGATTCTAATGAAAGAGAGAGACATAAGAAAATATGTATTTTAGAGATGCTGGTATTTTTTAAATGTCAGTTTGCTTAAACATTCAATCTCATATGTTTTGATGTAGTACTCCACGACATACACATTTATAATTTTTTTTTTTGAGATGGAGTCTTGCTCTGTCTCCCAGGATGGAGTGCAGTAGCATGATCTCAGCTTACTGCAACCTCCACCTCCCAGGTTCAAGCAATTCTCCTGCGTCAGCCTCCTAAGCAGCTGGGATTACAGGCGCCCACCACCACGCACAGCTAATTTTTTTGTATTTTTAGTAGAGACAGAGTCTCACCATGTTGGCCAGGCTGGTTTTGAACTCCTGACCTCCAGTGATCCACCTGCCTTGACCTCCTAAAGTTCTAGGATTACAGGTGTGAGCCACTGTGCCCAGCCCACATTTATAAATATTTTTCTTCTCAGTCTCTAAAGCTGCAACTATATTTAAAACATAACTTACTTAATATAAACTGGAATTTATCATGCAATCCCTTTACTGTGTTTATTTCTAAAGAATATGGGTTCTTTTGTGCATGCTGTAAAGAATAATATTCCCTGAAAACTTGTGATTTTCCTTTACCTAAGGCATGTAAGTTGTGTTCAAATTATAGCTTAATATAGCCTTAATAGTTTAATAGTTTTATAGATGGCTTAAAATAATGAGAGCTAATACTGATAAAGTACATAGTACTTAGTATGAGGCAGGCACTACTGTAGAGGTTTTACAAATACCAACTTAGTACAAACAATCCTAGAAGGTTCTATTATGATTCCCACTTTATGGATGACAAAACAGGCACAAAGAGGTTGGTTGTCCTTTCCTTTTATCTCCCCCATCTTTCACCTCCATGTCACCTTTAATTTATCCAAAAACAGTATGCTCCTTCAGTTTGGTTTAAAGAACCCCATTAAAGAACACCAACCAAGTTTAATTTATGCAAAGCTTCTATATATTCCCAGAAAAACAAAATAAAATTTTCAAAGTAGAATCAGGATTATGTGACATCATACAATGTTGGCACTGGCAGGTGTCTTAAAAATCATCCATTCCAGGCCAGGTGCAGTGGCTCACGTCTGTAATCCCAGCACTTTGGGAGGCCGAGGCAGGTGGATCACGAGGTCAAAAGATCAAGACCATGCTGGCCAACATGGTAAAACCCCAACTCTACTAAAAATAGAAAAATTAGCTGGGCATGGTGGTGTGCACCTGTAGTCCCAGCTGCTCAGGAGTCTGAAGCAGGAGAATCACTTGAACCCAGGAGGCAGAGGTTGCAGTGAGCAGAGATCGCGCCACTGCACTCCAACCTGGCTACAGAACAAGACTCCACCTCAAAATAAATAAATCATCCATTTCAGCCATATTTACTAAGGATCAGAAAGCCAAAAATTCTATTATTAATTAATGGGAACTCCAGAGCTCCTTTTTTTCTAAGATGGGGTTTCACCATGTTGGTCAGGCTGGTCTTGAAGTCCCGACCTCAGGTGATCCGCCCGCCTTGGCCTCTAAAGTGCTTGGATTATAGGCATGAGCCACCACGCCCAGCCTCCTTTTTTTCTTTAAAGTCAGGTTTATTGAGGCATAATTTACACACAGTAAAATCATACTTTTTCTTTTTCTTTTTTTTTTTTTGAGACGAAATTTTGCTCTTGTTGCCCAGGCAGGAGTGCAATGGTGTAATCTCGGCTCACTGCAACCTCCACCTCCCAGGTTCAAACAACCTCCCAAGTAGCTGGGATAACAGGCATGCACCACCATGCCTGGCTAATTTTGCATTTTTAGTAGAGATGGGGTTTCTTTCTCTATGTTGGTCAGGCTGGTCTTGAACTCCCAACCTCAGGTGATCTGCCTGCCTCGGCCTCCCAAAGTGCTGGGATCACAAGTGTGAGCCACCACGCCTGGCAAATCATACTTTTTCATGTATCGTATGATGGGTTTTGACAAATGCACATGGCTGTATAAGCAGTGCCACACAGAAGATACAGAGCAGCTCTATCACTCCTTCAAAACTCCTTCATCCCCTATAAAGTTAACCCTTGAGAAACATAGCCACAGGAGGGTTGCCAGCAGAAAAGTAGTGTGATCTTACTTCACTTAAAAAGGATCACTCTGGTTGCTAGCTGGAGAATAAACTGTAAGGAGCAAGGGTAGAATTAGAAAGTTGAAATATAAGAAAATGATACGGTGGCTTGGAATAAAGTAGTAGAGGTAATGGCAGAGAAAAGTTCCTAACAAAAACTTTATATAAACTTGGCTGGGCACAGTGGTTCATGTCTGTAATCCCAGCACTTTGGGAGGCTGAGACGGGAAGATCACCTGAGGTCAAGAGTTTGAGACCAGCCTTGCCAACATGGCAAAACCCCATCTCTACTAAAACGACAAAAAATTAGCTGGGCGTGGTGGCATGCACCTATAAGTCTCAGCTACTCAGGAGGTTAGGCAGGAGAATCACTTGAACCTGAGGCAGAGGTTGCAGTGAGCCGAGATTGTGCCACTGCACTCCAGCCTGGGCGACAGAGCAAGACTCCATCTCAAAAAAAACGAAAGAAAAAAACTTTATAAACTAAATGACAGCCAAAAACAGCAACAAAGCCACTTTTATGCAGTCTCTATTTAGTAAGAATAAGTATTTAATATGTTCACTAGGTAGTCTAAATCAGTGATTTCCAAATAGTAAGGGAGGGGCATGAATAGTAATTTTACATTTGGAGAAGAAAAATGAAAAAAAAAAAAAAAAAAAAAAAAAAAAAAAAAGACCTTACCAGTTGAGAAATCTTGGTCTAAAGATAAAGCTTATGTAAGTAAGAATCAAGAATGGGAGATATTTGAGGAAAGAAAGGGAAATATATTATACATCACCTCATCGAAGTCTCCTCTCACAATATGAACATCACCAGCCAGAGTCTTGAGATAGTCATAACTCTCTTTGGTGCAAAGATTTCCTGTGCAGAGAATGTGCTGAATTTTTCCTGGCACCAGGAGTTTTTTGAATTTAGCCGGCAAACTGTTGCACCGGTGTGGGATGTGCAGATCTCCTAATACCAACACCAACTTTAAAGTGTCAAGGTAAGATAAAGCATAATGTTAAACATAATGTAAAAACAAAATAGTCTCCAACTGTAAGCTCCCTTTTAAGTCTTATAAGAGATCCCAAATCCCACAAAACAAATTATTCATAAAGTTCCTATCATGACTATTTATTTAATCTCAGAAGCTGAATCTGTACATATTTTTCTTCAAGTTATCAGCTTTCAGATAGGTTTCATCATTGATTGTATCATGACAATTTAAACAGACATACATATGGTAATGTACTTTGTTCTAAATCAATCTTATTTTGTTATAAACAGTTGTGTATATATAATACAGGTAATCATTCTATTTACCAAGAATGAAATCAAACATTCTAAAGTGATTTAGAGACCTATGAATACACTGAATTTTAAAAATTATAAAATGAAAAGTATACTACTGGGCCCTATGGAATGTGGCATTTTAAAAGACTGATATGGTAATTCTTATTTCTGCAGTTGTAATATGAAAATGATTAATCCCAGAAAAATTATTGAAGGGAATTGTTAATAGAGAAAAAAATTATTTCTGTAATTTATGTGTACTAGATTGACAACTATTTGGAAGTATAATAGCGAAAATTTGGCATGTTTGTTACTTCAAACTATTAGGTATACATTGCAGAGATACACAAACAGCCTGTGTTTCAGTTTCATTAGGTAAAGGTGTGCTTTTGAATTATAATCTTTGATTATCTTTACTTTCCTTCATTATTAGAAGTCGTCACTGTCATATTTTTATGGTCTGGATTAAATTGCTCATGTACCCTTGGTATAGTTACCCACTAACTTAAATAACTTTTCATAATCTTTCATGTACATGAGAGCATTAAAACAATAAAGAGATCAGCTAAATAAGTGATAAATTTAGCATAAGGTGATTTAGAGTTGCAAATTAGTCTCAGATGACAAAAGGAAATTTTGCTATGAAATATAAAAGAATATAAACCCCAACCCTGTAAAATTTTATTTTAAAAATTTCAAGATTTGAGAAACAGCAGTAATTTAGCCATTTAACAGAGTACTAGTAGAAATATCATTTAAAAATAGTATCTGTCTGACCGAGCGCAGTGGCTCACACCTGTAATCCCAGCATATTGGGAGGCTGATGTGGGCAGATCACATGCGGTTAGGAGTTCGAGACCAGCCTAGCCAGCATAGTGAAACCCTGTTTTTACTTAAAAAAAAAAAAAAGAAAAGAAAAGAAATTCAAAAGTTAGCCAGGTGTGGTGGCAGGCACCTGTTATCCCAGCTACTCAGGAGTCTGAGGCAGGAGAATCACTTGAACCCAGGAGGTGGAGGTTGCAGTGAGCTGAGATGGTGCTACTGGCACTCCAGCCTGGGCGACAGAATAAGACTGTCTCAAAAATAAAAAAAAAAAATCTGTCCTCCAAAGGACAATGTGATCAATTTCTTTATGTTGATCAGTATAAGCACCTTCATTCTATACAAGATGTTTTCCTTTACAGACATTCCACCCATAAATCTACATGCCCTTCAACTATTTTTAAAAGTTGTCTATTCTTTATTATCAAAGAAATCATTAAATAGTTAATAGGATAAAACAAAATAGTTTTGCCACCACAGACTCTGTAAATGAAAATTAATTTAAAAAAACCCAAAATATGTGAAATTAAAATTATTACCAAAAGAAGCTTGATTTATCTTGCAACAAAATTAAAATTATTGCAAAGAAAAGGAACTATTATCAGGACACAGAATTATCAGGACATAGCTTGTAATCTCAAAGTAACACAAGGTTATAAAATAAGCAAACTTTAAATTGTTAAGTAAGATTCTTCTTCATAAAGACAAGTTTCGGCAGGTATCTGTTCTATGCCTATATTGTTTCAATGTAGATCTCAGTGGACAAACCCTCTGTAAAACTAAAAACCACTATGAAGTTTCCACCCTCACTGGTAATCAACATAAAAGTACCTGGATATAGAACAATCTTCATTTTAGAGGGGGATTCCTTCTGACATGGATTGAAGTACATAGTTAGTATGGGAAGCTGGGTTTGAGAAAAAGGTAAAATAATAGATTTCTATATTTAAAAAAAGGAGAACAACAACAACAACCCCAAACTCATAAAAGGGTATAGGTCTACAACACGTTGAAAATGGTTGATACTAATAATGAATGAACTGTTCAATCTGAATGTACCAGAAAGAACATTAATAAGAACATTAGTAAGACGTGGTACTTTATAATGATTGATGACCTAATTCTGTAAAGTACTGTGGATTTCCCCCAAGTATATTCAAGACTATCAGCAGTCTAAAGATACAATTGTAGGAATGATCACACAGAAATGATTTCAAATTAGTAGGGATCCTTACTAGGACAGAATCCTCTGGTTTCCTGCTGATGACAAAGTTATGGGGAAGTAGTGTCACAAAACATGTATCATACTTTGAAGCATGTCCCTGCCCAAATTCCACACTTTGACAAATGGGGATAGACATAGATTAGAAAGTCCTTTAAGAAAGCAAAAGATCCTGGCTAGGGACGGTGGCTCACACCTATAAACCCAGCACTTTGGGAGGCCAAGGCAGGAGGATCACAAGGCTATGAGTTTGGAATCAGCCTGACCAACATGGTGAAACCCCGTAATTAGCCTGGCGTGGTGGCACAACCCTGTAATCCCAGCTACTCAGGAGGCTGAGGAGGTAGAATTGCTTGAACCCGGGAGGCAGAGGTTGCAGTGAGCCGAGATCGCACCACTGCACTGCAGTATGGGCTACAGATTGCCGTGGGCTAAGACTCTGTCTCAAAAAAAAAAAAAAAAAAAAAAAGCTGGGTGCGGTAGCTCATGCCTGTAATCCCAGCACTTTGGGAGGCCGAGGTGGGCACATCATGAGGTCAGGAGATTGAGACCATGCTGGCCAAAATGGTGAAACCCCATCTCTACTAAAATATAAAAAATTAGCCAGGCATGGTGGTGTGCGCCTGTACTCCCAGCTATTCAGGAAGCTGAGGCAGGGAAATCGCTTGAACCCGGGAGGTGAAGGTTGCAGCGAGCCCAGATCGTACCATTGCATTCCAGCCTGGGCAACAGAGCAACACTCCGTTTCAAAAAAAAAAAAAAAAAAAAAAAAGATCCTGGAAATGGCAGTCTTATTAAATTCAAATAAAGAACCAACCCAATCAAAGCATGGAAATTCAGTTACTTCCTTTCAACAGACTTTAAAAGGGTGAGAAATCCAGTCAGTAATCAGCCACCCAACCACCATTGTTAGTAGGAGCTAAGTGAAGAAACTTACTCTGTGCCCAGCCTTAGTGGAATGAAGAAGTTGATTGCAGACAGGGGGGGATGAAAAAAAAAGGGTGAAACACGACCAATGTTAAAAGAAAGCAACGAAAAGAAACAAACAAAAAAGAACAAAAAACCCATTCCGAATGAGCAAACAATTGTTAATGATTTCTGAGTGTTATGAAAGAAAATGTTAAAAATCAGCTGTGCTCAAAACAATACCAAAAGAAACATTTGCTGTATTTTTAAATGTGACGCACACTTTTTAATAAATTTGCCTTGTCAATTTCTTCCACTTTTCCTAATCTTGTTCTGTATATTGACTTCCATCTCTTTTGTTTTCCATTCTGTTTAGATTTTTATAAGGTTTTATAAAATAATGAATTTAGATTTCTACAGACACTTCGGAAAATGTCAGTAATAGCTTAAAGGCTAACATTTTCTGGATTCTTAGGGTCTAATTATTCCTCAAGTATACGGATTTTAATTATCTTACATTCAAAATTCTAGTAGCTGGAAAATTACACTGCAGCTGGGTGATTTTTTGTAGCTGATGCAACATAGCACCACGAATACATTATCAAGTGATGAGCAAATCAACTAAAAGTGAAGACAAAATAATAAAAACAAACACATTTATTCAGTTAAAACTGGACCTTTCCACACCTGAATTTGCTGCCCACACTCTGGACACTGTATTGAGTGTTGAACATCTGTATCCTTTGCCAAGTAAAATGCTTTCAATCATAAAAGAATTGGCGAATGCTAAATTTTTTCCCAGTTCTATTTCATATGAAAAATGATGGTCCAGTACAACTACCCTAAATAAGAGGGTTCACCTCTCAAAACAACTTGAGAAACATTAATATTTTGAAATCATGGCAAATAATTATGTCTTCTCCCATGGATAGGTGTCTCAAAATTACTGTAAACTGAATTACTTTAAATTGGAGTCTGTTTAGAAGCAAAAGTTAAAAGTGAGATTAAAGATTTTAAAGAAGCATGCACCATAATCTTTGGCTGCCACATCTGTAAGTCTCCTCTTGAAAAGGCTGTGTGTTATGCAATAGTAATAATCTTAAAAATGCATGGCTTCTTTGGTTTCCTTGTAAAAAGAAAAAAGAGTGCAATAAATGCTTATCAGAGATAAACGTCTCTCTACAGCCAACCTCCATCAACACAAATATCAAGATAATCACAGATCCATTTCAAATAACTGAAATGGAAATTGCCTTTTAGAGTCAAAGGCACCTTTGAAAATATGATTACATTTATTTTATACAACAAGTGAAATGGAAATTGCCTTTTTAGTCAAAGGCACCTTTGAAAATACGATTACAGGCCGGGCACGGTGGCTCACACCTGTAATCCCAGCACTTCAGGAGGCGGAGGTGGATGGATCACCTGAAGTCAGGAGTTCGAGACCAGCCTGACCAACATGGTGAAACCCCGTCTCTACTAAAAATACAAAAATTTAGCCAGGTGTGGTGGCGGGTGCTTGTAATCTCAGGTACTCGGGAGGCTGAAGCAGGAGCTGGAGCTTGAACACGGGATGCGGAGGTTGCAGTGAGCCAAGATCGCGCCACTGCACTCCAGCCTGGACGACAAAGCGAGACTCCATTTAAAAAAAAAAAAAAGATTACAAATATGAGTCCTTTCTAGTGGAGGCCCCAACTTTTTAGGTAGGAAGGTCTGAGGGGTAGCAACCTACTGTGGGTGAAAGGGTGATTGCTTGAAGGTGGCTAGGGGAGACTAGGAAAGTCAACACCGGAACTCCCTCCAGAAAAATGTGTATATTCATAAAAATTTCCCAACAATTTCAAGTTCACAGATCATGAAGGAATCCTACCCTAAAGGGGTGTAGCAACCCGTGGAAAGAAGTAGTTCCAGCAATTGCAAGCGCCAAATCCCGCCCTCTGAGAGCACACCTGCTCCTTTCAATGGCAGCTGCATGTTATTTCAGGGGCGAAGAGGGTCGTTTATTCCCTTTCCCTACATGGCAAACTTAAACGGGTAAGGAATTCTGCTCGCTACTTCCCGTTCTGCATCCGAGAGGCCAGGTTCCGCCACATGGCGGGTGGTAACCACTACACCCCAACCAGCGGGAGGTACTTTTTGCGGGAAACGAGTAGGAAACCTCTGGAAACCGAGGAGGACGTTGCCCCTATCCCCGGAATGCTCGAGGTACGGGGCCAAGGGCCTTCCCTGGCTCCGGCGTGCGGGTCTCGTGACATGTCGGGCAGCTTAGAGGGATCTTTTTAGCCCTTGGATGGCCTCTGGCCCCTTGAGGCCGGCATATGAGACCAAGGCCGGCCGCACCCAGAGGTGACCGCTCCCTTTCTTCCCTAGCCCACTTCCTGGGCCTTCCCCAGGCCAGCGCCTCGGCCCTGCCGCCGAGGCCTCCGGGATCTCCCAATCCCTCGCCCTGAGACTACCCGCAGCTCCCAACAACGCAGCACTCCAGCCGAGAGCCAAGCCTCGGTCGCCGCAGCTGCAGCCCTCACCATCCTGTCACCAGGCTCCGTTCAGTCACCACAACCGCCGCCGCCCTCTTCCTCAGACTCTTCGGCGACCCGCCCACTTCGCCCGCAACCAATGAGAGCAGAGGTCGACAGAAACTGCCGTACGGGGGCTCGTAAGGGCTCTTCCCCGCCGTAAAGCGAACCTGCGCTTTGGGAACTCGTGGAGGCGGGTGGTACGGTGGAGAGACCAGATCGCGAAGCTTTGAAAAGCGCGGGCCACATCCGGGCACCTGGGTCGTCGAGCTGAGGCGCGCTTTCCGAGCCTGGTTTTTAGGACGGTTGGCAGCCATGCTGAAGTGCGTGATGACCGGCAGTCAAGCGAAAGGTTGGGTCGGCGTTTGTTGTCTTCCCATGTAGCAGAGAGAAAAGCAGACGTTAATAGGTCGTCCCCACCATCGTCTTATTTTTCCTCTTTGCCTTTATGCACAAGGACTGAGGACACATGCCCTGGCCACAGCCCCACTCACTCAAGGTCCTGTTAGCTTCCAAGGGGAGGATGAGGGCCCATCTCCCGTTACTTAAACGTATATGTAATATGGGTGGTGTCCAGAAAATACTGTTGGACCATTGGGCCACAAACTCAGGTTCCTGAGGACTGCACGGGGAGGAGCTGGGAGAAAAAGATAGTGCTTGGACAGTAAAGTATTTTTGTGCCGAGAGAAAAGCATTACCTGTTTTTTTTTTTGTTTGTTTGTTTGTTTTTCCAAATTCTACCATTTTTGGAAAAGTCACTAAATCTTTTTGGCTTAGTTTCCAAAATGGAAATGGGGGTAATGATCGCACCTTCGTCACAGTTTGTTTGGAGGTAATGAAATGGAAATGTAAAGAGCCCTGCAATAGATGGAATGAACAAGAACTATTAGTATTGTAAACGGCGCGTTCAAAGTGGAAGTTTGGCTGGGTGTAGTGGCTCACGCCTGGAATCCCAGCACTTGGGGAGGCCAAGGCGGGTGAATCACCTGAGGTCAGTTGAGACCAGCCTGGCCAACATGACGAACCCCCGTCTCTACTAAAAATACAAAAGTTAGCCGGGCACGGTGGTGGGCGCCTGTAATTCCAGCTGCTAAGGAGACTGAGGCGAGAGGATCCGCTTGAGCCCGGGAGGTCGAGGTTGCAGTGAGCTGAGCTCGCGCCACTGCACTCCATCCAGCCTGGATGTCAGAGTGAGACTCTGTCTCAAATTTAAAAAACAAACAAACAAACAAAAAAACCTCACAGCTAAAATCTCAGCACTTTGCGAGGCCAAGGCGGGTGGATCATGAGGTCAAATGATCGAAACCATCCTGGCCAACATGGCGAAATTCCGTCTCTACTAAAAATACAAAAAATTAGCTGGGCATGATGGCGCATGCCTGTAATCCCAGCTACTCAGGAGGCTGAGGCAGGAGAATTGCCTGAACCCAGGAGGCGGAGGTTGCGGTGAGCCCAGATCGCGCCATTGCACTCCAGCCTGGGTAACAAGAGCGAAACTCCGTCTCAAAAAAAAAAAAAAAATTAGCCGGGCGTGGCGGTGCATGCTTGTCCCAGCTACTCGGTAGGCTGAGGCGGAAGAATCGCTTGAAACAGGAGGCGAAGGTTGCAGTTAGCCGAGATTGCGTGTGTGTGTGTGTGTGTGTGTGTGTATGTGTGTGTAGTGTCTGGTTTATTCAAAGTAGCTGTCAGAGGCCCAACCATGGAGCAGAAACCAAATAGTTGGGAGCTATGGGGCTGAACAGGACAGGGATGTCCAGGTATCAGAAGGTAAACGGAGGGGTCAGCTGAGCAGCCAGAGCAGGCCCAGGCTGAGCAGGACAGGACAGGCCGCCCAGGGCCCAGCCCCACTCATGGCCGCAGCATAGAACCTTGCCACCTCCTCGTTGGTGTTGCCCTGGTCTGGGTGGAATCACATCTGGATGCAGCGGCCGCTCCCTTGGCTGTAGTTGCTGATCTTGAAGGAGGGACTCAAGATTTCATTGCACAGAGCAGTGGGTGTGGGGAAGTAGAAATGGAAAGGTAGGCAGGCAGCTCCCACCGGGCACTTGTTAGACCCTGAGGTCCAATTCCAGCCCTTGTGCCAGTTGCTCTTGCAGGTATAGGAGGTACCACAATGTTTCCACCATTGTTCACAGTCCTCTTTGCACAGGGGCACGTCCAGTACCCGCTCTTTACGCCAGCTCTGATCCACCTGCTGAATCCAGGGCCCCAAGCTGGGGGAGCACTCATAGAGGCAGGTGTCCTGGATGAAATGCCGTTTGCAGGCAGGTGCCATCTCTCCGAAGTGGTTCCAGTTGAAGTTGTGTAGGTAGGAAACATCCTTGTGGGCTTCCTGGCTGGTATTGGTAGAACAGCAGGCATTCCTCCAGGGACAACACTGGGAGAGGAGGTGGCTCTCGGTCTGGCTCAGGCTTCTCGAGACTGTGCCATTGCACTGCAGCCTGGTGACAGAGTGAGACTCTGTCTCAAAAAAAAAAAAGAACATAAACAGTGTCCTATGGGATCAGACTAGTGTGTTTCCCAGCCCTAAATGTGTTTTGTGGTGGGGAAGTCTGGCTACCCTAAAACATCCGTAATTTCTCTCATGATTTGTGGTGACTTCGCTGTCTATCGAGCTGTTAAAACCACTTCAAATCATCTTCTCCATATACTCTTTTCATAATTTTGGGGGGGGTCAAATACATTTATCTAAATCAATTTGTAAAATGTATTAGTATGGAAATTGGTTTGCCACAGTAACTCCATGCAACACTGTAAACATATAGAAGGAAGAATTTCAGTTTTATCATTTTTGACACTCTGCAAATTTATTGAGGCCTTACAATGTGTCTGGCATTTTGCCAAGGGTGTTATACTGTATTAAAGTGATGTAGTGAGTCTATAAGATATTGTTCTTTATGAATTTATCTTGAGTCCTCTGAATGCTGAACTAGTTTTGTGATTTGTTGTTAGAAGGAAAGAATATAAGCATCACCTTTCTTTTTCTCCATAGTATTTGGGAAAGCAGTTCAATCTCTATCACGAATTAGTGACCAGCTATGGCTAGATCCATCTAGAAAAGGTGTAAGTAAGAAAGTTAATAGACCCTGTATTGAGGCAAGAGGAGATGTTTAAAGATTCCAGTCCAGATTGAATGTTAACTAGAAAATCTAGAAATTATAATTATCCCCTTCACTGTTTATCTTTATTTTACATATCTGAATACATTTAGAGCATAGTAAAGTGAAAATATGCAGATAAACCTAATTAATTTAAACCAGAAGTCACAAACTGGTAGTCAAGAGACTAGATATGGTCTGCAGGAATGTTTTATTGGGCTGCACTGTGTTGTTTTTTTCAATTTGAAGTAATTTCTAGCATTTAAAATTGAGAGAGTCCAATTTTTCCTGCTTCTCTTGAAAATTCAGAAGACCTGACAGTTTTGGGCCTGCATTCATTCCCAAGTGGAAGTAGCTGGCTGAAACAGTAATGGTTTCCCCACTTATATATGGTATGAGACCACCAATATACTGTAACTCCCTTATATATTGCCTTCTGCCATTTTGCACATTAGAGTTAAGGCCCATGGCTGGACATGGTAGTTCACAAATGTAATCTCTGCACTTTGGGAGGCTGAGACGGGAGGATCACTTGAGCCCAGGAGTTTGAGATCAGCCTGAGCAGCAAAACAAGACCCTGCCTGTCTCTACAAAAAAATAAAAAAAAATTAGTCAGGTGAGGTGTTGTGTGCCTGTAATCCTAGCTACTTGGGAGGCTGAGGAGGGAAGATCCGTTGAGGTAAGGTGTTTGGAGGCTGCAGTGAGCTGTGATGGTACCACTGTACTCCAGCCTGGCTAACAGTCTGTTTAAAAAAAAAAAGTAAAAAGGAGATTAAAAGAACGTTAAGGCTCCTGTAGGCATTTGCTATTTTATATTTTCAACATGCAAACTTTCAGATTTAACAAATGTATGTATTCAATATAATAGATATGTACACATATGTATATACATATGCAAATTCAATTCAGACTGTATAGGGCAGTCCATAATTAACATCCTTTGTTCCTATTTGAACACATTTAACTGTTAAACATAATGAAGTTTCCTGAATCAAGCTATTATTTAAAGAAAGTTTATTTTCCCCTAATTTTTTTTTAAATAAAAAAATAGAGGTAGGGTCTTGTTATGTCGCCTAGGCTGGTCTCAGACTCCTGGCTTCAAGTCATCCTCCTGCCTTGGATTTCCAAAGTGCTCAGGTTGATGGGATCCACTGTGCCCAACTTCTAAATAGTTTTTATCTTATTTTTCTAGCTTGCTCTAAGATCTGTGAACTCTTCTCGGTCAGCATATGGATGTGTTCTGTTCTCCCCTGTGTTTTTTCAACATTACCAATGGTCAACTTTAGTGAAAATGAATGAAAATGAACATGACACAACATTGAATTTAAAATGCAAATTGGGAATGAAGGTAAATATGAGTAGCTCTGGTTTTCTCTTATTCTGTAGAAATATTCATTATATAGAACATAACCTGTATTCTATACCTAATAGCTTAAATGGCATTCAGGACAAGTCTGTTCATTTATTATTTTTATTTATTTATTTAGAGACAGAGTCTGGCTTTGTTACCCAGGCTAGAGTGCAGTAGTGTAATCTTGGCATTGCAACCTCCACCTCCTAGTTTCAAGTGATCTTGTGCCTCAGCCTCCCACGTAGCTGGGATTACAGGCATTCACCACCATGCCCAGTTAATTTTTGTATTTTTAGTAGAGATGGGGTTTCACCATGTTCGCCAAGCTGGTCTTGAACTCCTGACCTCAGGTGATATGCCCACTTCGTCATTCCAAGTGCTGGGATTACAGCCATGAGCCACCATGCCTGGCCAAGTCTGTTCATTTATGAATGCATATAGTTTTGTTTTTAAAATGAATTGACCATGTTAAGTATGTGCTTAATATGTATATTTGTGTTACAGTCAATTTTGCCCATCTTTAGATGTCTGAATTCCCTTGAAAGAAATATAGAGAAGTGCAAAATATTCACCAGATCTGATAAATGCAAAGTAGTTATTCAATTCTTCTACAGACATGGTAGGTGTAATTGAAGGTGGTTAAAAATATTGTGGTGTTTTTTTCCCAATAGTTTTCATGTTTAGAACATTCAGATTTCATGTCAAGACTTCTCATTACATTATTGCTTAGAGTGTGGATAGTTAAGCAGGAGGGCAGTTTGAAGTATTATTTATTTATTGTGAGACAGTTTGCCCAGGCTGGAGTGCAATGGTGTGATCTCAGCTCACTGCAACCTCCACCTCAAGAGTTCAAGCAATTCTCCTGCCTCAGCCTGCCTAGTAGCTGGGGTTATAGGCACCTGCCATCATGCCCAGCTAATTTTTGTAGTTTTAGTAGAGAGAGGGTTTTACCATATTGGTCAGGCTGGTCTCGAACTCCTGACCTCAGGTGATCTGCCTGCCTCAGCCTCCCAAAGTGCTGGGATTACACGCATGAGCTACCACACCCAGCCTGAAGTGTTACCTTACCTGTCACTGCAGAACTATTTTAAGATGATTGGTATTAATTATTTCCTTTTTTGACTTGTCAGTGGCAAAAGCTTTGCCAGCATACAGCCTAAGTTTTTGAAATATCTATGTGAATTCAAACGATTGACTGTTCTAAAATTTACTAGCTGCTTGCTGATATTTTTAAAGAGTGTTTTATATGTGTTGACTTAACCACAAATGCTCCTTGGTAAGAACAGAAAAGAATAATGCTTGCCTATACTGACAGCAGTCTAGGAGGCAGTTTATATTGTCTGGGGCTGAAAGAAGCATAATGACTGGCCTAAGGTGACTGAGCTAGTAAGATGCAGAGCCTGGATTTGAGTCCATGCCTAAGAGAGTGGGAGCAAAAGTCTACATTCATTCTCTCTGCTACACCAAGCTCTAAAACAGATTTCCTGACTCTTAGCCATGCATGCTAGATATTAAAATGTCATAATCACCAGGCACAGTGGCACATGCCTGTAATCCCAGTACTTTGGGAGGCTGAGGCGGGTGGATCATGAGGTCAGGAGATGGAGATCATCGTGGCCAACATGGTGAAACCCCGTCTCTATTAATAATACAAAAATTAGCTTGGTGTGGTGGCATGTGCCTGTAATCCCAGCTACTTGGGAGGCTGAGGCAGAAGAATCCCTTGAACCAAGGAGTGGGAGGTTGCAGTGAGCTGAGATTGTGCCACTGCACCTCCAGCCTGGCAACAGAGTGAAACTTCGTCTCCAAAAAAAAAAAAAAAAATGTAATAACGGGACTTTTCTATGCTTAAATATGTATAGCATAGAGATCAAGAGCGGGGACTCTCTTAATCTCTGTTTGAGACCAGCCTGGGAAAAATATGAGACCCTGTCTCCACAAAAAATTAAAAAATTAGCCAGGCATGGTGTTGCATGCCTGTAGTCCCAGTTACTCTGGAGGCTGAGCCAAGAAGATGGAGGCTGCAGTGATGGCACCACTGCACACTCCCACCTGGGAGAAACTGTCTCAAAAAAAAAGGGAGCATGGAACCTGAAGGCCAAAAGGAATAGGATAAAATCTGGTTCTGCTCCTTCCATGGTGAGAGCATGGGCAAATTATTGTACATCTCTGTGCCTCACTTTCCTAATATATGTAAAATGGGGATAAGTTGTATATTTTGAAGTTGAAATTTGAGGAAGCAAAAAAAAAAAATCTTGTGATATTGGTCCAAATTTTTTTTTTTTTTTGTAGTGGGCTGGTTTTATGAAAGGTTATCTTACTGTTGTAATTTATCTTGTATGTATGTATGTATCTTTGTATTTATTTATTTGAGATGGAGTTTCACTCTTATTGCCCAGACTGGAGTATAGTGGTGTGAGCTCAGCTCACCGCAACCTCCGCCTCCTGGGTTCAATCGATTCTTCTGCCTCAGCCTCCTGACTAGCTGGGATTACAGGCACCCGCCACCATGCCCTGCTAATTTTTTGTATTTTTAGTAGAAACAGGGTTTCATCATGTTGGCCAGGCTGGTCTTGAACTCCTGACCTCAGGTGATCTGCCTGCCTTGGCCTCCCAAAGTGCTGGGATTACAGGTGTGAGCCACCACACCTGGCTGGATTTCTTAATTTAATCTTACATTTATTATAGTACATTTTTATTTCAGCATTTATTTTTCTATTTATTATTTATTTATTTTGAGACAGAGTTTTGCTCTTGTTGCCCAGGCTGCAGTGCAATGGTGTGATCTCAGCTCACCCCAATCTCCACTTCCCAGGTTCAAGTGATTCTCCTGCCTCAGCCTCCTGAGTAGCTGGGATTACATGCATGTGCCACCATGCCTGGCTAATTTTATATTTTTAGTAGAGACAGGGTTTCTCCATGTTGGTCAGGCTGATCTTAAACTCCCAACCTCAGGGGATCCACCTGCCTCAGCCTTCCAAATTACAGGTATGAGCCACCGTGCCCAGCCATATATGTATATATATTTTAAGATGGAGTATCGCTCTGTCACCAGGCTGGAGTGCAGTGGCATGATCTTGGCTCACTGCAACCTCTGACTCTCTGTCTGGTTCAAGTGGTTATCCTGCCTCAGCCTCCTGAGTAGCAGGGATTACAGGCACGCACCACCACGCCCAGTTAATTTTTGTATTTATAGTAGAGACGGGGTTTCACCATGTTGGCCAGGATGGTCCAGCTCCACCTGTATTTCTTAATTTAATCTTACATTTATTATATTTTTATTTCAGCATATATTTATATTCTTTGAATTGTTTCCTATAAAATACCAATAATTTAACATTATTTTTTCCTTCTTTGAACTTCTGTTCATTTAACAGCAAAATGATTCAAAGAGAATGATTGAAAGCATAGCAAGCCTTGACATCACAAAGATGTCAGTGTAAATTCTCTTCCAGTTCTTACTAGCTTTGGGATAGTGCATAAGCTCTCTGAATCTTCATTTCCCTACTGTAAAGTGGGGATGATCTTGTATACCCTCAAGTTATAGGGTGATTGTGAGGATGAAGTGAGATCACATGTAAAGCACATACCACAGTTCCTGCTTCATAGGGAGTACTTGATAGTGACTGCTATTACTATAATTTTCCTCTTCCCTTATCTCCAACTAGATTTTAGACAACCAAGTATTCAGTTTCTAGAAGTAGCTCTCAAATAGCTTGAATAATGTCCAATAAGTATTTGTGATTGGTTAATTTTTTAATAGTTTTTGTAGGGTAGTTATATGATAGGATGCTTTGGCTTACAAGTAACAAATAAAAGCAGATGGTCCAACTCAAACTAGCTTGAGGAATAAAGAGAAGTACTGGTTCATGTAAACAGAAAATTCAAAATTAGGTCACAGGAGGCCAGGCACGGCAGCTCACGTCTGTCATCCCAGCACTTTGGGAGGCTAAGGCGGGCGGATCACGAGGTCAGGACTTTTTATTTTTTGGGGACGGAGTTTCGCTCTTGTTACCCACGCTAGAGTGCAATGGTGCGATCTCAGCTCACCGCAACCTCCGCCTCCTGGGTTCAGGCAATTCTCCTGCCTCAGCCTCCTGAGTAGCTGGGATTACAGGCACGCGCCACCATGCCCAGCTAATTTTTTGTATTTTTAGTAGAGACGGGGTTTCGCCATGTCGACCAGGATGGTCTCGATCTCTTGACCTCGTGATCCACCCGCCTCCACCTCCCAAAGTGCTGGGATTACAGGCTTGAGCCACCGCGCCGGGCCCCAAGCCTGACCATTTTTTTAAATGTGTGTGATCTACCACATAAGGGACTATTTTAGGAGCTGGAACTAGCGGAGAACAAATCAGACAAAAATCTGTCTTCACAGGACTCACATTTTAGAGAGGGGAGATAGCAAGAAAATAAATGAATAAAACTCTAGGCAGCTAGGCGCGGTGGCTCATGCCTATAATCCCAGCACTTTGGGAGGCCAAGGCAGGCAGGGTTGAGAGTTCAAGACCAGCCTGACCAACATGGAGAAACCCCATCTCTACTAAAAATACAAAATTAGCCAGGCATGGTGGCACATGCCTCTAATCCCAGCTACTCAGGAGGCTGAGGCAGGAGAATCGCTTGAACCCGGGAGGCAAAGGTTGCCGTGAGCCGCGATTGTGCCATTACACTCCAGCCTAAGTGACAAAAGCGAAACGCCGCCTCAAAAAAAAAAATAAATAAATAAATATCAGTCCTTGATGGAAGGTACTAAAACAGAGTAATAGCAATATGATCTGTTGATGACAATCACTATTTTACACACAATTTAAGAAACTACCTTAGTCAAAGATGACTTCCCCCAAGATGAATTCAAATTAAAAAAAAAAAAAGAAAGAAACTACCCATATTTTGGAGATTTCTCACAAAACTAAAAATAGACCTACCATATGATCTAGCAATCTCACTACTGTTTATCCAAAGGAAAATAAATCAGTATATTAAAGAAATACCTACACCCCTGTGTTTATTGCAGCACCATTTATAATAGCAAAGTTATGGAATCAACCTAAGTGTCCATCAGTGGACTAATAGATAAAGAAAATGTAGTATATATACACAATGGAATACTATTTGGCCATAAAAATAATGAAATCAGGCCTGGCGTGATGGCTCATGCCTATAATCCCAGCACTTTGGGAGGCCGAGGCGGGTGGATCATCTGAAGTCAGGAGTTTGAGATCAACAGGAGAGATCCTGTCTCTACTAAAAACACAAAATTAGCCGGGCATGGTGGCGCATGCCTATAGTTCTAGCTACTTGGGAGGGTGAGATAGGAGAATTGTTTGAACCCAGGAGGCAGAGGTTGTAGTGAGCTGAGGTCATGCAACTTGCATTCTAGCCTGGGCAACAGAGTGAGACTCCATCTCAAAAAAAAAGAAAGAAAGGAAAGAAATCATGTTCTCACTCACAGTGTGGATGCTAAAAAAGTTGATCTCATGGAGGTAGAGAGTAGAATGGTAGATACCAGAGGCTGGGAATGGTATGTGGGTGATATGAAGAGAGGTTGCTTAGTGGGTACAAACATATGATTAGGTAGAAGGACTAAATTTTAACATTGGGTAGAGTAGAGTGACTGTAGTTGGTAGCAATGTATTCTATGTTTCAAAGTAGCTAGGAGAGAGGACTTGAAATGTTCTTAACACAAAGAAATGTTACATTTTTGAGGTTATGGGCACCCCAAATATTCTGGCTTGGTAAATACACAGTCTGTGCAAGTAACAAAATATCACATGTAATCCATAATTTTTTTTTTGAGACAGCCTCACCCTGTCACCCAGGCTGGAGTGTACAAGTGGCATGATCGGCTCACAGCAATCTCTGCCTCCCAGGTTCAAGCAATTCTCATACCTCAGCCTTGAGTAGCTGGGATTACAGGTGTGTGCCACCACACCTGGCTGATTTTTGTATTTTTAGTAGTAACAGGGTTATGCCATGTTGACCAGGCTGGTTTTGAACTCCTGGCCTCAAGTGATCCACCCACCGTGGCCTCCCAAAGTGCTGGGATTACATAGGCGTGAGCCACCGTGCCCAGCTGCATGTACCTCATAAATATTTTAAAATAGCATGTATCAATAAAAAAATATTAACCAAAAAAAAGGAAACTGCCTGTATTTCAAAGGAATTTGGGAACTCTCCTGCCTGATTGGTCAAGGCAGTGACATATTGTTTGGTGTCCACCAGGGAGCGATAAACACATTTCATTAAGGAATAGTGCTGCTCCAAGCTGTATGCACTTCCCAGATAATAGATGTTACTTTTAAGTTGATTATTTTAATTTGGCTGTGAAACTTAAAGACTTATTTGATTTGTTAATTTTGTACTTAAAGTTATTAAGAGGTGGCTTTTTTCCTTTTAAGGTATTAAAAGAACTCATAATATATGTTTTGAAGAAAGTCAGCCTTTGCAAGTTATTTTTGACAAGAATGTTTGTACTAATACACTAATGATTCAACCAAGGTAATGAGTTCTCTGTTGTCAATTTCTTTTCTCCTGGATATAGTATGGTCAGGGAGTGAAGAATTAATGCCCTAGAGCTTTTCAGTCAGTATATATATATATTTTTAAGCTAAAATTTGACTTGGAAAGATTACCCTTCAGGGGCAAGAGGAAACCTTGAAAAAAGATAATAGTGGATAATAACTAATGGTAGCAATACTAATTTAGTGACCCAAGAAAGTTCTAAAAATCTCCCATCAGTGGATTTTTATATCAAGTTGCATTTATATGGTACCTGTCTGAATCTTAGAACACGGAGCTTGAGGAAATTTTAACATTTTTTTATGTGAAATGATTTTGGCCCCAAGTATTAACAGTTTTTGTTTCCTCTAGATAATGAGTGAGGCATATTTGTCTTGAAATTTGAAACTTGAAACTTGTTATTTGAAATGCATCCAGTTTTCAATTAAGCTGTAGCATTAAACATTAATTAACGTTATTTTGTGACCCAAAGATATTTTATCCATATTGTTTTATTATTATTACTATGATTAGTATTATTATTTGAGACAAAGTCTTCCTCTGTGGCCCAGGTTGGAGTGCAGTGATGTGATCTTGGCCCACTGCAATCTCCACCTCCTGGGTTCAAGCAATTCTTGTACCTCAGCCTCCCAAGTAGCTAGCACTACAGGTACAAGCTACCATGCCCAGCTAATTTTCATATTTTTTGTAGAGATGGGGTTTCGACATGTTGCTCAGGCTGATTGAGACAAAATCCTGAGCTCAAGTGATCCATCTGCCTCAGCCTCCCAAAGTACTGGGATTACAGGCATGAGCTACCACACCTGGCCCTTCCTTCTTTCCTTTTTGAATTGCACATTCATATTGTCATTTTTTCTGTGTCAAGTTATTTGGTATCTTGTATAACTGCCCCTGCTTAACACTGGAAAAGTTCCCAAATGAATTTTTTAGGTGTTCCTGACATTTTGATATCAAGTAACACTGCTCAACCAATGTGTAACATCAGATAACACCATGATTACATAAATTCTAAGAATTTCGTTTTTATCTTTTTTTTTTTTTTTTTTTTTTGAGACAGAGCTCTGTCACCCAGGCTGGAGTACTGTGGTGGATCTTGACTCACTGCAACCTCCGCCTCCTGTGTTCGAGCAATTCTTCTGCCTCAGCACCTCGAGTAGCTGGGATTATAGGTGCCCGCCACCATGCCTGGCTAATTTTTGTATTTTTAGTAGAGACAGGGTTTCACCATGTTGGCCAGGCTGGTCTTGAACTCCTGGCCTCAGGTGATCCAACTGCCTTGACTTCCCAAAGTGCTGGGATTACAGGCGTGAGCCATGGTGCTCGGCCTCGTTTTTATCTTAATAATACCTCAATGTCAAAAGGAGTATAATAAAAAGATAACCCAGCTATAATAAATAAGCAAAGGATTTTAATAGTCATTTTTTCAAAGCAAATGTACAAATGGCAATAAGCACTTGAAAAGATGCCCAGCATCATTAGTCATTAGGGAAATGCAAATCCAACAATTTTCAATCTGTGAATTATGTCATATGGCAATTATATCTCAATAAAGTTGTTTAGAAAAAAAGGAGTCAGATTGAACTACAGAGTTCAAAAAAAAAAAAAAGAAGAGAAAAAAGAACTCAGAATAAAAGGGCATTTGGGATGTCAAGAGAACCTTGAAAGCAATGGGTAATAGTCGAGGAAAGGAATAAAGGGAAAGAATATAGGTAACAGGCTGCTTAGAAACCTCTGTCCCCTCATCTGAGTCTCCAGCATAATTTACCTGAGTTGTTTTTTAACAGCTTCATTTTCCAGTATCTTCCTTCACAGTATGATCTAGGACCAATTTAAAAAAAATGATTGGGCTTACAAAAACATAGAATTAAAGATATTTTATTCTAGAATTTTGTTAGTACTACAGCTTCCATGTATTTTACTAAGGATATATTTTGCTGTTCTGTTGGCCTTCAAATGAAGTTATAACTTAAAAATATACTAAAAATATAGCAGCTATATATAAGAAAGAAGATATGAGTTTGGGTAAATTTTTCTAAACCCAAGCCAAGAAATTATGTATTTCCAGATTAGAGATTTGAGTCCCAGTTAATAAGGTATGTCTTTCTTTATGTTTTTCAAATAATGTTAATACTGTTTTTTATATTTCATAGATTGCTTGCTGATGCCATTGTTCTTTTTACATCAAGTCAAGAGGAAGTTACTCTTGCTGTTACTCCATTGAATTTTTGCCTCAAGAGTTCTAATGAGGAATCAATGGGTAAGGATTATATCTGAAATGGTGTTTTGATGGATTATTACTTCCTATCATTGTTGATTACTAATCATACTGCAAATATCAGTGGCATAATTCCTGTCTAAAAAGCAGTAAGATGTAGAAAGGTTGGAAAAAGTTTTAAGAGATCCAACAAGTTTAACACAATCAGCAATTAAAATATTTAGCTTTGAAATTCATATGGTTTTAAAATGAGGAAAATGGGGCCAGGCACTGTAGCTCACACCTATAATCCCAGCACTTTGGGAGGCTGAGGTGGGTGGATTACTTGAGGTCTGGTGTTTGAGACCAGCGCCCAACATGGTGAAATCCCGTCTCTACTAAAAATAGAAACATTGGGAAGCTGAGTGCTGAGACCAAGGCTAAAGCTGGGAGACTGAAAAAATGCAGATCACCAGAGCATTACTCATTTCTCTGGCTCTGTTTCACTGTTGTACCAGTGGTCTAATCAGGCCTGTGTCTGCCTCCTTCTTGAATAGCCCAGATAATTCGTCTAAACAACCTTCCTACAGCAGCTCCCCACTCCATGTGGCCTGACGGGAGTTCCAGACCAGTGTTGTCTCCTGGGACATTGACACAGCAGCACGTTTATTGGTGCTGGGACAGCCACAGTTGGTGTGGCTGGTTCAGGGGCTGGCTGTCTCTCAAGCTTGTTTCATGTTGTAGTATGTGTCAAGTATTTCATTCTTTTTATTGCTAAATAAATTCCTTTGAATGGTTATGACACATTTTAGGTATCCATTCTTCACTTGATGGATATCTGGATTGTTTCACTTTTTGGCTCATATGAATAATGCTCTATAAACATTTATGTACAAGTTTTTGTGTGGACATATATTTTCATTTATCTTGGGTATATACCTAGGAATGAAATTGCTGAGTCATATGGGAACCCTATGTTCAGCATTTTGAAAAAATGCTAAACTGTTTTCCAAGGAAGCTGCACCATTTGACATTCTTAACACCAGTATATGAGGGTTCCAGTGTCTATCATCTGTCTTTTGGATAGATCAAATCCATCCTAGTGGGTATAAAGTAGTATCTCATTGTTTGATTTGCATTTCTCTAATGACTAATGATACTGAGCATCTTTTTCTGTGCTTATTGGTTATTTGCATATCTTTTTTGGAGAACTGTCTGTTCAAATGCCTTGCCCATTTTTCACTTGAGTATTTGCCTTGATTATTCTGTATACTAGCCCCTTACCAGATCTGTGATTTGCAAATATTTTATCCTATTCTTTGGGTTATCTTTTTATTTTCTTGATGGCATCATTTGAAGCAGAAAAGTTTAAAATTTTGAGTCCAACTTATCTGTTTATCTTTTGTTTCTTATGTTTTTTGGTACTTTTTTTTTTTGAGACAGAGTCCTATGTTGTCGCTCAGGCTGAAGCGCAGTGGTGTGATCACAGCTCATTGCAGTATAGGCTCAACCTCCAGGGCTCAAGCAGTCTTCCTACCCCAGCCTTGCAAGTAGATGGACTACAGGTGCATGACACCACATCCAGCTAATTTTTGTATTTCTTATTTTATTTTATTTATTTTTTGAGATGGAGTTTCACTCTTGTTGCCCAGGCTGGAGTGCAATGGCGTGATCTTGGCTCACTGCAACCTCCACCTCCCGGGTTCAAGTTATTCTCCTGTCTCAGCCTCCTGAGTAGCTGGGATTACAGGCACATACCACCACACCCTGCTAATTTTATATTTTTTGTAGAGATGGGGTTTCACATGTTGCTCAGGCTGGCTTGAACTACTGGGCTCAAATAATCTGCCCACCTTGGCCTCCCAAAGTGCTGGGATGACAGGTGTGAGCCACAGTGCCCAGCCAATTATACTTTTGTATTAAAACTTAACAAATACCTCTGGAACTAATTTTATTCTTTATTTTCCCATAATATTAAGCAGATTTGAGCAATGCTGTGTACAGTGAGATGTTTGTTGGCTCAGATGACTTTGATTTCTTTCAAATTGGAATGAACACTGAGATAACGTTTTGCTTCAAAGAATTGAAGGTAAATAAAGATTTGTATCAAATTAAAATTGAAATTTTCACTGAAAGTTTATATAAGGATTCCAAGTTTTTTTTCTTCTTTTCTTTTTTCAGGGAATACTGACATTTTCAGAAGTGACACATGCTCCTATATCCATTTATTTTGATTTTCCCGGGAAGTAGGTCTTTGAGAATTTTTCTGAGTTTGTTTCTTTTCTTTTGTTTTATATCAATAACAACACCCTTTGGATCACTTTGAAATTAATACCTCAGGGATACCTTAACTTTACTATTACTACTTATCAAACTAAAAGTTTGAAAGATGCTAGAACATGATGTTTTAATTTAATTTTTTGTTTTTTTAGACGGAGTTTCACTCTGTCTTCCAGGCTGGAGTGCAGTGGCACGATCTTGGCTCACTGTGATCTCCATCCCCTGGGTTCAAGCAGTTCTCCTGCCTCAGCCTCCCAAGTAGCTGAGATTACAGGCACCTACCACCATGCCTGGCTAATTTTTATATTTTTGGTAGAGGCAGGGTTTCATCATGTTGGCCAGGCTGGCCTTTAACTCCTGACCCCAAGTGATCTGCCCACCTTGGCCTCCCAAAGTGCTGGGATTAGGTGTGAGCCATCACACCTGGTTAACATGGCATTTTTTAATTGGTAACTTGATTGAGAAAGATATATTCATCTACAGAGTGAAACATTTGTAAGTTTGACATGGTACTGAATATATTGCCTAATTACAAAATTATACATGGCCTAAACAAGTTAGATCTCTAGGAAACTATGATACTTATTATATTTCTGAAGTAAAATTTCAAATGAGATTGGGTTGTGTTTTATGAAATTGAATCTGATGATTTCTAAGGGTACTTTCAGCTCTCAGGACTGTGGCAATTTGTGCAAACACAAAAAGAACATTTACTTCTACTGTTTCTTTTTACTCCAAAATTAAGGATCATTTCTATTGTGTTCCTAATGTCCATCAGAACATAAGTGTCACTGTTGCTCTGACTTTGCTTTTTTAGACCTCTGGCTTTAAGTATTGATGATATGTTAGTGGAAGCTAACTTTATTTTGGCCACATTAGCTGATGAGCCAAGTAGAGCATCTTCACCACAGTCACTGTGTCTTTCACAGAAACGAAAAAGGTAAGACTGTGCTTTAACTTCTTTATTGATTGGGACAAGCTATCATGATCTTATTCTGAAATAATTCACTGGCATTCCCTTAGGAAACAATTGAGGAGTGAAATATTAGATCAGAAATTTTAACTGAATACGGAAGAGCTATAGTGAAACTTACCTGTAGCATAGAAACATCATCAGTCTTGTGTCGGATATTTGCTTTTTCTGTTCCGACTAGAACTGAACAAGACTGACTGTCTGGTTTATCTGTGTTGTTTTCCAAAATTCAATTCCAATTTTTAGGGTTTCTTGTTATTGTTGTTTTAGAAAGCTTCTAACTTCCATTGCCCAGGCTCGAGTGCTGTGGCACAATCTTGACTCACTGAAGCTTCCATTTCCCCGGCTCAAGTGATCCTCCCACCTCAGCCTTCCAAGTAGCTGGAATTGTAGGCATGTGCCACCATACCTGGCTAGTTTTTTTGTACTTTTTTTTTTGTAGAGATGGGGTTTCGGCATGTTGCCCAAGCTGGTCTCAAACTCCTGGGCTCAAGCCATCTGCCTGCCTCAGCCTTCCAAAGTGCTGGGATTACGGGTGTGAGTCACCACATTGGGGCTTTAGTTGTTTATTTTTTATTTTTTTTAGGAGTAGTACAGTGTTTTCACAGGTAAGTCTATTCACTTCCTTAGAATTTTTACTCAGATATAGGGATAGCCATTGTTTACTTTCTTTTCATTTTCTTTAATAACTTTTCGGGGAAGAAACATGCTTTATTATAAAAGTTATTTTGGGAAATTTGTAAAATAGAGAAAAGTACACAGAAGAAAATAAAACTTACTCATAATTACACCACCCAGAGATAGCCACTGTTAACATTCTGGCTCACTGATTTTCTTTTGGACTTTTCAATTTTATGTATACTTTATTTTTATTTTTATTTATTATTACTTTTTTTGAAACAGGGTCTCACTCTGTCACCCAGGCTGGAGTGCAGTAGCACAATCATGACTCACCATAGTCTCGACTTCCCAGGCTCAAGTCTTCCTTCCACCTCAGCCTCCTGAGTAATTAGGAATACAGGTGCCTGCTACTCTGGCCAGCTAATTTTTGTGTTTTTTTGTAGAGATGGGGTTTCACCATGTTGCCCAGGCTGGTCTCTAACTCCTGGGGTCAAGCAATCTGCCTGCCTCGGCCTCCCAGAGTGCTAGGATTATAGATGTCAGCCACTGCGCCTGGCCTATACTTGTATTTTAAAACAAGATTGGGATCATATAGCGTATGCAGTTTTAGTATTGTGTGCATGTTTCAATGTCACTGATTATGATTTGAAGTGATTTTTTTTTTTTTTTGAGATGGTCTTGCTCTGTCACCCAGGTTGGAGTTCAGTGTCTCGATTTTGGCTTACTGCAACCTCCAGCTTCTGGGTTCAACCAATTCCCTGCCTCAGACTCCTGAGTAGTTGGTCCTACAGGCGCCCGCCACCACACCCAGCTAATTTTTATTTTTTTAAGAAGGAGTCTGGCTCTGCCGACCAGGCTGGAGTGCAGTGGGGCAATCTTGGCTCACTGGAACCTCCGCTTCCTGGGTTCAAGTGACTCTCCCGCCTCGGCCTCCCAAGTAGCAGGGACTACAGGTGCGTGCCACCACGCCTGGCTAATTTTTTGTATTTTTAGTAGAGTTGACCAGGCTAGTCTTGAACTCCTGATCTCATGATGTGCTCACCTCAGCCTCCCAAAGTGCTGGGATTACAGGCTTGAGCCACCTTGCCCGGCCATTTTTTTTGTATTTTTAGTGGAGAGGGGGTTTCATCATCTTGACCAGGCTAGTCTTGAACTCCTGATCTCATGATCCACCCACCTGGGACTCCCACAGTGTTGGGATTACAAGCGTGAGCCACTGCGCTTGGCCAAAAACATGATTAATGACTGCACACAATTTTATCATCTAGATGTATAGTACTTTACTTGACTTTTTCCCTAACTTGCTTCTGTCACTGTATCACAAGATATTCTATGCACGCAGAGTTGCTTTGCTGAAAGGTCTGCCTATCAAGAGAATTTATAAATGATCATATATATAAATTTTAACATTCAACAATTTAGTCTATGTATTTCAATATATTCCCTAACCCAGTGCCATCACTGTTATTTCACATTGTCTATTAGTTACATAAAAAATATATTTCACAGTAAACAGTTCATTCATTTAATGTCTATTAATACCTCAGGTCAGATCTGATTAAAAAAAAGGCTGGTAAAAATGTAACTGGCCAGACCCTGGAATGTATATCAAGAAAAGCAGCACCAAGAAGGATTTATCCTAAGGAGACTCTCACAAACATCTCTGCATTGGAAAACTGTGGCAGCCCTGGAATGAAAAGAGCGAATGGAGACATCAGTGAAGTATCAGAAAGCAGTGTCAGCAACACAGAGGAAGTGCCGGGGTCTCGGTGTCTCAGAAAGGTAAAAGAAAAGCATTGAGACTGAACCACATCTTAGTCAAGAATTCTCATCTGTCTTCCAGTGCAGTCTTCCTTTCAAATCCCCACCTGGCCATGTTCTGAAAATTGATTTTTTTTTTGTGATGGTGTTTCCCTCTTGTTGCCCGGGCTGGAGTGCAATGGTGTGATCTTGGCTCACCACAACCTCCACCTCCCGGATTCAAGCGATTCTCCTGCCTCAGCCTCCTGAGTAGCTGGGACTACAGGTGCGTGCCACTACGCCTGGCTAATTTTTTTCTATTTTTTTTTTCTCTTTTTTTAAACTTTTTTACTGAGCACAAATTTTCCTGAATATTTTTGTATTTTCAATAGAGACAGGTTTTCCCCATGTTAGCCAGGATGGTCTTGATCTCCTGACCTTGTGCATGATCCACCCGCCTCACCCTCCGAAAGTGCTGGGATTATAGGTGTGAGCCACTACACCCAGCGTGATTTTCTTATTTTTTGATAAGGGAAAAGTGAAACTAGTTTGAATTACAGAATAAAGAAAAGTCTGATAGAGAAAAGTCTTTTTTACAGAATATCAATAGAAAATAGTTAAATTGTTCAGTCAGTAATTTCTAACAAAGCATATTCAAGTAGAGATTTGGGTCCCATCAGAAGGGCACATTACATGCAAAAAAAAAAGAAGAAAGAAAAACAAAGAGATTTGGGACCCTTGTTTCCAAGAATAAATTATGATTGTTTATAGTATATTCTATCTTTGAATAACAATAATATGCTGAAGTCATATAAATAATTTATTTCCTAAAATAAGTTTCCATCTAATTTTATTTTTCAAATTTGGTTGGTAAATCTTATATTCATAATAGTACAAATATAAATTTCATTCCAACAAATACTACAAATTCCTTCATAATGGAGTCCCAGTTAATAACATCTTATTCTATAAGATAGATGATAAGCTTCACAAAATGCTGTACTGTTAAACCTTATGAAATCTACTGAACCAAAGGTAAGCAATGTATTAGAAACTGAAGTATCTCAAATATTGATAATTCTAATTGTACTTGTTAATGTTTTATTCAAGCTTGTTTTGCTGTTATTGTTGGTTTGGAAATATGAGTTTCTTAGTTAGAATTAGACATTTGAAAGTAGAAATAATATTTTTGAAAGTCACCATCACCATCTTGGCTGGGTACAGTGGCTCACACCTTTAACCCCAGCCCTTTGGAAGGCCAAAGAGGAAAGATCTCTTGAGGCCAGGAGTTCAAGACCAGCCTGAGCAACAAGAGTGAGATCCCATCTCTACGAATATTTTCAAATTAGCCAGATGTGGTGGCTGTAGTCCTAGCTGCTGAGGAGCTTGAAGTGGGAAGATCTCTTGAGCCCAGTAGTTCAAGGCTGTAGTGAGCTAAGATCACACAACTGGACTCCAGCCCAGGCAATAGAGTGAAGCCCTGTCTCTTAAAAAAAAAAAAAATTGGAGATGATCCAAGATGGCCGATCGCTAACATCCCGGGATTGCAGCTCTCAGGGAAGGCGCGAAGAACTAGAGGACGCCACACTTTCAGACAAATTCTGGTCGCTCACGGAGCAGGAGATCCCCCAGTGGAGGAAACACACGGGTGGCCAGCGCGACTCTTGTGGCCGGTGCAGCGGTTCTGCCGGTACCTCGGCGCGGCAGCTCTCGGAGCAAAGTAAACAGGTTCGGAGGACCTGCACGGGTCCCCAGCAGGACACCAGAGCCCGGTGCAGCCGCTGTGACGGCACCTCGGTGCGAGAGCGCTCGGCGCAGAGTAAACAGGACCGGTTTCCCTTCTGACCAAGGTTTGGAGTCCCGGGAAGGCAGAGTCGCCTACTACAGACACAAGAAGGAAGCCCGACAGGAGAATCCTGGGCAGAAAAGCACCATCAGTTTTAACGCCGCTGCTCTGGCCCTGGGAACTAACAACCTGGACGCCCACTCAAGAGACCTAATCTGAAAGTTGGTAATTTCAAAGAGACAGGAGGATAAATTTACAATGACGGGAAGAAACCAGCGTAAAAAAGCTGAGAATACTCAAAATCAGAACGCCTCTCCCTCTAAAGATGATCACAGTTCCACATCAACAATGGAACAAGGCTTGATGGAGAACGAGCGCATCCCGATGACAGAATCACTCTTCAAGGAATGGATGATAAGAAACTTCGGTGAGTTAAAACACCATGTTGTAGCCCAACGTAAAGAAACTAGGAACTTTGAAAAAAGGTTTGATGAAATCCTATTGAGAATAGACAACTTAGAGCGGAGTATGAGTGAATTAATGGAACTAAAGAATACAATACAGGAACTCCGAGAAGTATGCACAGGTTTAAACACTCGAATTGTTCAAGCAGAAGAAGGGATATCAGAGGTCAAAGTCCAACTTAATGAAATAAAACGTGAAGAAAAGATTAGAGAAAAAAGGATAAAAAGGAATGAGCAAAGTCTCCAAGAAATGTGGGACTATGTGAAAAGACCAAACTTACGTTTGATAGGTGTACCTGAATGCGACGGAGAGAATGAATCCAAGCTGGAAAATACCCTTCAGGATATTATTCAGGAAAATTTTCCTAAACTAGCAAAGCAGGTCAACATTCAACCCCAGGTAATACAGAGAACACCACAAAGATATTCCTCAAGAAGAGCAACCCCAAGGCACATAATCGTTAGATTCACCAGGGTTGAAACGAAGGAGAAAATACTAAGGGCAGCCAGAGAGAAAGGTCATGTTACCCACAAAGGCAAGCTTATCAGACTTACAGCAGATCTCTCAGCAGAAACTCTATAAGCCAGAAGAGAGTGGGGGCCAATATTCAACATTCTCAAAGAACAGAACCTTCAGCCCAGAATTTCATATCCAGCCAAACTAAGCTTCACAACTGAAGGAAAAATAAAATCTTTTATGAACAAGCAAGAACTCAGAGATTTTATTACCACCAGGCCTGCTTTACAAGAGCTTCTGAAAGAAGCATTACACACAGAAAGAAACAACCAGTATTAGCCTTTCTAAAAATACACCAAAAAGTAAAGAGCACCAACATAAAGAAGAATTTACACCAATGAATGGATAAAACAGCCAGTCAACATCAAATGGCAGTAACCCTAAATTTAAATTGACTAAATCCCCCAATCAAAAGACACAGCCAAAACCCAATGGCATGTTACATCCAGACCTGTTTCACATGCAAGGATACACAAAGACTCAAAACAAAGGGATGGAGAAAGATTTACCAACCAAATGGAGAGCAAAAATAAATAATAAATAAATAAAAAGCAGGAGTTGCAATTCTCGTATCGGATAAAATAGATTTTAAAGCAACAAAGATATAGTGGTAAAAGGATCAATGCAACAACAAGAGCTAACGATCCTAACACCCAGATACGAGACTTAGATTCAATGAGACAGAAAATTAATAAGGATATCAAGGACTCGAACTCAGATCCGGAACAAGTAAACTTAATAAATATTCATAGAGCTCTCCACTTCAAATACACAAAATATACATTCTTGTCAATACCACATCACACCTACCCATAAGTTTAAATGAAACATTGATTGGCCATTATTAATACTCAATTTTTTTCAAAATAAAGCAATATTTCCATTTACTCTCCCTCTTTCTCTTCCTCTTTCTTCCTCTCCTTTACTTATTTTTTTTTTTTCTTTCCTTCTCTCAAAAAAAAAAAAAAAATTCACCCTATTACATTGTATAAGATTTTTAGGGCAGAATTTGATGAGTAAACTGGATGTAACCCATTTGATACCATAGGTATTTATTGAGTATTTATATGCCCAATACTTAGGGCAATTTTCTCTTCCTGTATGTTACTAAGTTGGCCATAAAGTGAAAACACAGATTTTACTGTGTTCTCATTGTACAAAAGTATTGTCCTCTCCTATTTTTCTGGTCACACATATTCTACTTACTTTTTCACAGGCAACAACATAAATCATTTTCCTGCTGCTTCATGCCCCTGAAATTCATTAAGATGGCCAGTTTCTTTGCTAGATAAAATGACATTTAGAACTTTAAGCTCCATGAGCACCATTGCAGCACTCTACTCCAAATTTCCTATTATGTTGCTAAATTCTGGAAAGAAGGCTCTATTTTAAAAGGAAATTATTTGCTTTAATGTGGCAAACTCCTGCAAAGGTGAAATTACATTATGGATAAATGATGTAAACCCTTATCATGTTCCACCTGAACTTCCATGGGCTTCTGGCTGGCCTCTATGCTCTATTCTCCTTCACCCTGCTTCTCCTCCACAGTGTACTCATAGATTTTGTTCAAACCCTAGGTCTACAATGAGGCCCAGAGTTTGAGAGCTCTGGCTCTAGAGTTCACATTCTGAGGTTCAAACCTCTCTCACCACGTTTTAACTGTGTGACTTGGACAAGTTATTTCTTTTTCCCTCAGTTTCCTTAGTAAAATGGGGTAATAATTATACCCACTAAATAGGATTGTAAAAATTGAGCTTATGATGTAACAGGCACATGGTCAGTGCTTGATAAAAGTTAGTTATTGACCGGATGTGGTGGCTCATGCCTGTAATCCCAGCACTTTGGGAGGCTAAGGTGGGTAGATCATGAGGTCAGGAGTTTGAGACCAGCCTGGCCAACATATTGAAACCTGTCTCTACTAAAAATACAAAAATTAGCCGAGCGTGGTGGTGGGCACCTGTAATCCTAGCTACTCAGGCGGCTGCGGCAGGAGAATTGCTTGAACCCGGGAGGTAGAAGTTGCAGTGAGCCAAGATCACACCACTGCACTCTGGCCTGGGCAACAGAGCAAGACTCTGTCTCAAAAAAAAAAAAAAAAAAAACTCAAAAACTATTATTATTATATATCATTCTCTTGCTTTTAAAACTCGTAGATTGTTACGCTTCTCCCATAGGATTAAGCCTAAACTCCCTAGAATGACATGCAGGAACTAGGCTATTTAATATAGTCTTTGCCTGGCTTCCTCCTTTTATCTTCACTTCCCCCATGCAAAAT